TTGAACTTTGAGCTTGGTCAATGACATAAATACAGCCACCCAATTTCATATCCAATGGGCAAGATTAATTGTGACCGCTTTGTATCAAAGATAAATAGTCTTATTATATACTTTTCCTTTGTGTAAATATGCTTTAAATATATTTTTTAAGATTATTTTTATTTTTATTTTATTTAAACATGTTTTGGCCCACCCAAGACCTACCTGTTAAGCAGGGTGAACCGGGCGGTTTCCGAGTTACAGCCCTTGGCCAGTTTCTGAGTCCGATTCGATTTGTTGAACACTAGTTATTATTTTTCTCGCACTACAAAATAATGTTGATGAGGGCCAAAGAATTTGTGGCCCATGGCCAATAATTTGTGGCCCTGATAATATAATCAACTTGAGGGGATATTTTCCATTTAAAATTTTGATCATATGTAGTAGTTTTAAAAGAAAATAAATCAGGTATTGAGTTATTTAATACTCAACTTTGGCAATTCACAAATTTGGACAGCATTCATTCAGTTTCATAAAGTAATTTTTTTCCCAAATACATAAAACATACACGTAATAAATGTTTCTCTTTGTTTTTCTCCTTGCCAGGTTATGGATCTCCAAATTTCGGGCTGCTATGTGGCAATCATATACAGGGGATTGTAATAATTTAATTTTTTTGTAGCAATCGTATAAAGGGGATTGTAATATAAAAAAAAAAATTTAACTATTCTTTTGTATATGTTTTTATAGGTGATAATGGGGAGAATTATGAAGGTCTTATATTTGAGATGAATTCGATATATATAAAAATTAAAATGCATACAGTATGTGCTCTTAAAAAAGTAAGACTAATATATAAAAAAAAATTTAAATTCTGAAAATAAAATGGGATATTTTTGCAAATTTTCCAATATTTTAATACTCTTTATTATAAGGAAATTCATGTTAATATCTTTCATAATTAGCAATATTAAAACTGGTTTCATATATTTTACATTTTACATTCATGCCCGTCTTCATATTTTTCATATTTTCATATTTTCAAATGGGCAAGCTTTCTATGCTTCCCCTACAGTATAAAACTTATATGCTTCCCCTTATCCAGCCGTTCATTCTAAATGGAGGGCTATGATTGTCCCAATCACAATGTCACGACTCTATACTATTTTATTTTTCATGTTTTTTTATAAACTATCTTTACACCAAATTTTGTACGTCCAATCCTCTATTAAACTCGTACCAGTGAAAAATATAAAAAAAAAATATTTTTAATAAAATAAAATGACCAAAATACCCCTGAACACCTTCAAAGGGTATTTTGCTTATTATATTTTATGGTAAATTTATCTTTAATATAGGTGCGGCCCAATGAGAAGATTGCATGTACCAAATTTCACATTAATATAAAAAAAAAACTAAAAATAAAATACTTTGAGACGTCGGATCTAAGATCAAATGGTGAGTGGCTCTCTTGATCAAAATTGGACGGCTGGATGGCAGGGGACACATAGATCTTCTGTTGTAGGGGAAGTACAGAAACCTTTCTCTTTTCAAATTGCCCTCAGTTCAAAATTATTAATTCCATGCCACTTTGATTTGCACTTTCGTAAGGAATCAAAGAGGTCCGGACTGTTTCTATTCCTTACCATGAGTGATTCGGAATTAATAGTTCCAAGCCACTTTGATCGATACTTTTTTTGTAAGGAACCAAAGTGGTATAAAACTATTGGCTTTGGTCCATTTTGATCCATACTTTTTGTAAGAATCAAAGCGTCTAAGAGTTATTAGATCTCAACGCTTTAATTCCTTCCGATGGTTAATTTAAAGGGCAAGCTTTCTATGTTTTCCCTATAGGATAAAACTTATATACTTCCCCTTATCTAACCATCCATTTTGAATGGAGGGCTAAGATTACCCTAATCACAATGTCACGTCTCTACACTAATTTATTTTTAATGTTTTTTCTATAAATTATTTTGACACCAAATTTGAATGTCCAATCCTCTATTAAACTCTCACTAGTGAAAAATGTAAAGAAAAAATTTTCAATAAAATAAAATGACCAAAATACCCCTAAAAATTTGAAGGGGTATTTTGGTCATTATATTTTATCGAAAAATTATTTTTAATATTTTTTTATAAGTGAGCCCTAATGAGAAGTTGGCACGTACCAAATTTCATATTCATACAATTTGTATAAAAAAACTAAAATTAAAATACTTTGAGATGTTAGATCTAAGATCAAACGGTGAGTGGCTCTCTTGATCAAAATTGTACGAATGGATGGTAGGGCAAGTATAGATCTTCTATGTTGTAAAGGAAGTATAGAAACCTTTCTCTAATTTGAAACAAGTAACTTCAAATCACTTTGATTCCTTACAATGAGCAATCCAAACCTAACCGGTTTTATTGCTTGCAATGAGCAGTTTGGAACTACTAGTTCCAGATCGATTTAATTCTTTGCAATTATCAATTTGAAAGCAAATGCTTTCGTATAGAACTATTAGTTACGTACAAGTTTTATTATTTACCACTAGTAATTCCAAACCTGAGGAATTAAAAGGAAAAGTGTACCAATTGATCGTTACTTCACAATCACTCTTGTACATTAGATTTTAAATCGGGTGGTTGTGAATGTGTCTTTGACTAGACTCAAAGTTCAAAAAAAAAAAATGAACTTTGTATTATACGCTAAGCCATCCAATTTCACTTCTAATTGCTAGTAGCAGTTGTGACCCCCTTTTAATATAGAGAACTTGTCTAATGAAAAATTGTTTGGTGCGTCCAAGCCCACATTGTTGCTATGGGGGCTTGGAGATTTTACACCAACCACCAGAACTCGATCCCATAAATAATAGTCCTCTAAAGAAAAAGTAAAATTAACGGTTCAAATATTTTCTCTAAAAAATATCATCTCTAGTTTTTAAAATTTATTTATTTTTATAGATTAATAATCTCCATGTTAAAGATTATACATTCCCTAAAAATTAGGATCAAACTCTGTTTCAAAAATAAATTATTAAGGGGCCCTCATTACTAGATGTGAGTCCTTGGACTTAAAGAAACCATGTCCTTGTCTAATTGTATAAGATCCCATTATAAAAAGTCGTTAAAAGAATAGTACATGAATGAGACCTATGGGAGACATTTAAGGAAAATTGTTTGATAGGGCTGCATCTTATTAAAATAAAGAAAGCCTCACCTAATAACTCATTGAATATTGCCATTCAAGCATTGAAAAAACCTCTACATCGATCATTTCGGCTTGAACATTATGGTTGTGAAAAAAAATAGGATTTCAAGCTTTAAAAATAGTGTATGTTGTAACAAATTATCCATACTGTCTATTTTGTCCTAAAAATAAGTGTTTAATGATCTGCAAGATCTATGTCATTTTTTCAGTTTCAAAGTTTATTTTCGGTGTTGGACATCGATTTTATAGCCATTATGGAGATTGTCATTGCTGAAAATGTCTTCCGAATGAGAATTTGACATGTGGCTTTATTTTGCTTTTATAAAGCCTAGGCCTTATAGAAACTTCGTCTTTTTCAAAAAAAAAATATTAGGGGATTATTAGCGTTCCATGTGAAACAATGTTTATAGGCGCTTTTATTTCATGAAATGGGTTTTATCACAGTATAATGCAACCGCACTTTTAAAAAACTATATTTGTAGTATTTGTATGGGGAAAGCTTTTTATATTCTCCCTACAATATAGAAGTTCTATCCTCCCCCTACCATCCAGCCGTCCATTTTTTATCAAGAGAGTCACTCACCGTTTGATCTTAGATTCGACGTCTCAAAGTATTTTATTTTTAATTTTTTTAATACAAATTTTTTGAATATGCAATTTGGGACGTGCCATCTTCTCAATGGAGCGCACCTATAAAAACTATTAACAATAATTTTTGATAAAAATAATGACCAAAATACCCTTGAATCTTTCAAAGGTATTTTGGTCCTTTTTTTTATATTTTCGTTAGTGCGAGTTTAATAGAGGAATGGACGTCGAAAATTTGGTGTCAAAACAGTTTATAGAAAAAAATAAAAATAAAATGGTGTAGAGACGTGACATTGTGATTGGGGCAATCCTAACCCTTCATTAAAAAATGGACGGTTGGATAAGAGGAGGATAGAACCTCTATGTTGTATGGGGAACATCGAAAGCTTTCCCTTTTGTATGATCCAAAATTTTGCATACACACTCTCTTCATATTTCAGTAGTCAACCTAAAAATAATAATAATAATTTGCACAACTAATTTGCACCCTATACATAGTCAAAATGAGTCCCTTCCAACAAAGAAGATAGACCATCCATTTGATGAATTTCAATATCTAGGCCTTTATGAATTCAAAATCAATTTTCCTGTAATATTATTAATTAAATGATAATGAAATAATCTAAAAAATTTGGAAAGAAAAAATATTGTTCTAAGGCCTAGATCTAAGCATCTCACCAAGATGGACGGCCTCTGTTAATTGGGCTAAAAAAATACATTCTAAGTTGTATTTTCAATTTTTCCTTTTATGTGATTGTTCATTAAAATGAAAAGAGTGTATATTTTAAATTTAGGTGTGGTTTCTATAAAGTTGCAACATTAAACGATCCAATTAAGGCGTACCTCCAAATTTTTTCACAAGATGTAATTTGGCATAGAAAGTTCTTAGGATTATCTGGAAACCTATTTTCATATCTAATTATAAATCTTAAACTCCAAAAAGAATTAAAAATCAAGCATATGAAAATAAATAAAAAAAATGGTTTAGATAATGTATTGCAAGATGCACTATTTTTGGGACTCAAAATAATTCTTTTACAAATTCGTATGTGTCGATATCGAGATGATCAATTAGAAGTTTTTCAAAGTTCTTTTTCTATGGATTTTTTAAGGTGATCTTTAATTCAACATTTTTTAAAGTTGCAACCTTGCATAAACTTTTTTATTTAAATATTGATGGGGGAAATTAGCATAAATTTCTATTAGTCCAAATTCTAGAGGGAGTGAAAAAAAAAAAAAAAACAACTTGAAGAAAGGAAAGCAGAGCTGGCGATGGGTGAGAGTTGACGGCTGCCCCGGCTTCCCTGAATCTGCTTGGGTAGCACCGTCCACAAACGCAGAAAACCTCTTCTTTCTCTCTCTTCCCGTTCTCTCTCTCAATCAGATTCTAGAGAGAGAAAAGGTTGTGCCTCTCTCTCCTCGCTCTTGTTCTTCCATTGTTGTTGCAGAGACTTAGAGAGAGAGAGAGAGATGGAAAGCGTGCCCTTGTGGCAGATAGGGAGCTTGGTCGGAATTCTTTGTTGGATATGGGTTTCAAGGCTCACCAATCTCACCATCCTCCTGCGATCTCTTACCCAACCTGGGGTTACTCGTCATGTCAACGCTGAAACCCCCTTCATACTCAAAATTCAGGTATGAATTCAAATTTTTTGCTTCCAAACAATACGACCGTTAGACATTTCAGAATACAGGTTTTTTTTTCCAGGTATTGAAATCATGGAATATGTGTTTTTTCTTCTTTTTTTTATGGATTGCAGGGCTTCCAATGTCCCACTCTCGATGTATTCTTCTCGGCGTTGTCATGCATTGTTTCTGTACCCTTTTACACAGCTTTCCTCCCATTTCTCTTCTGGGTGAGTTTGCAATTTTTCACCTTGCTGTCAAAAATCAAATTTTCATGAGTTTTTTGGGCTATGTGAACTTTTGGTTCTATCCCCATTGGGGTTTCTATTTTGTTTGAAATAGAAATTGGGTCATGGGATTTTTTTTTAATTTATTGTTTTCTTTGATGGGTCACTCTGTTTTGATTGGTTGTTAGGGATCTGGGGTTTTAATGAATGGATTATTTGCAGAGTGGGCATAGCAAATTGGCGAGGCAGATGACACTTTTGATGGCATTCTGTGATTATGTTGGAAATGCTCTTAAGGTGTTTTTCAGCTCCTTCAAATTCGGATGGTTTGTAAATTAAGTTCTTAAATTTACAAAGAACCACTATGATGGAAATCAAACAAAGGCTGATATGGTGGACTTGGGATTCTTTTTTTTTGTATCAGGATTTGATTTCGGCTCCAAGACCCAGCTCTCCGCCCGTTAGGCGAGTGACTGCCACTAAAGATGAGAAAGGGAATGCCCAGGAATATGGACTGCCTTCTTCCCATGCTCTTAACACAGTTTGCCTTTTTGGGTACGGTCAGTACTCCCCGTTGTTTTTTGATCTTTTATATGTTTGTATTTTCGTGACAGTTATGCCTTTAAAGATGGAGAAACTTTGCTGAGTTAATTTGTTTTCTATGGTTTGAGTGCAGGCTTCTGTTTAGTTACACTCTATCATCTCATGCAGGCAATCCTGGTCTGAAGCTTTTGGCTCTCATCATGGTTTGTGTTCTAGATGGTCTCATTGGATTGGGTATGTTCTGAATCCTCTGTTTTCCGACCAAATCACAGTGTATCGATGCTCTCATTCTTTTTATTCCTAATTGGGAGTTGATATTGTTTTTAGGAAGGATTTACCTTGGTATGCACAGCCCTATCGACGTATTGGGGGGAGTTGTTCTTGGGTCTGCCATTCTTGCGGCATGGTTGTCGGTTCATGAACTCATTGACACCTTCATTGTGTCCGGACAAAATGGTATACATATCTATAGTTAGAAAAAAAAAACTCAGTTTGATGTAGGCCTTTTTTTTCTCTTATTATCTCTAGAAAATGAACGAGGCCAATTATTAGCTTTTTGATACTATCAATGTTAAGATGTGTTAATGTTTTGCTGTGTTGCAGTTACATCTTTCTGGGCAAGCCTTGCTTTTCTGCTGCTTTTTGCTTACCCTACACCAGAACTTCCTACACCAAGCTTTGAGTACCACACAGCTTTCAATGGAGTTGCCTTAGGAGTGGTAATAATTTTTACACAAAAACTCCAGCTCTTAGTGTCACGCAGAGAAGATTCAGTACTGCCTTCAATTTAGATCTTTAAAGAAAATAAAAATGAAAAAAAAATTGCAGCCAATGAAGTTGGTTGTTTTCTTTTTCTTTTCTTTTTCCTTTTTTTTCTTTTTTCTTTTATGTGTCATTGCCTACAAGGTTGCCATCTTATTTGGATTATTTCTTGTGCAAGACTAGAAAATTGCTTCAGTTTCTATGGAAAATGTGACATCAGTTTAATTGTGCCTAACTGGAAGATGATTGCTCTTCCATTCAGGTGGGTGGAATCCAGCAGACCTATCTTCAGTTCCACCATGAGGATGTGCCAAGAATACTCAGTGAGCAGCTTTCCATTATGGTTTTTATTGGAAGAATAATGGTAGGCATTCCTATTATTCTCATTGTAAAGTTCTGCAGCAAGGCTTTGGCTAAGTGGCTTCTACCCATCATTTGCAATGCATTGGGTATCCCAATTAGATCTTCCTGCTATATTCCAGCTCTCAAGAAACCTGTTCAATATAAGACCAAGTGTGAAAACAAGATGTTCCGGTATTTGCAAAATACTTTCTTCTTCTCTCCTGAGGACTCATATGATGTTGATACTGGGATTAGGTTCCTTCAGTATGCTGGTCTTGCTTGGTCAGTGGTGGATCTAGTCCCATCAATTTTCTCTCACCTGAGATTGTAACATGCTATTCTCTTTGTTCTGTATTTTACATTTTGTTGATCGTTAATATATTTTACTCTTTCATCTAGATTATCACATATCCCTTTCTAGATGGAATGAGAAGTTCCTTTGCCATCAAAGTTGTTCATTATACTGGTTCGCATTAGGGTATTGTTTTGTTCACGGAGGCTTTGCTGTGCAACGCTGATCTTTCATGTGCTCAATCTCTAATAGCTACTTGCTCTTCAAAATTCTCATCCAGATGCCATGATCTCTGTGAGTTCCTATGTGTTAGACATGTTGCAATATGCATACTATCTCCGTGCACTTGGTTCTTTAAACAGTAGTTTGTGAATAGCCAGCTTGCAGCATTTCCTGTCTAGCGGAATGATGCTCCTTTGAATCAACCTTTTTAATTTTGAACTAAACATTGACCCAAAAGTAGAATAGAGTAAAAAGGATTTGTATTTGATTTCGAAAGAGCCAAATGTAATTTATTATCAGCTTCTATGGATATTTTAAAACTTTTAAAACTGTTATGCCCCACTCTATTGGGAAAGGGTTGCTGTGCTGTAATAGCCATTAAAATGGACATAATGGTGTTTATTTTCGAATATCTTCAGTCACTTGGCGATGTTTCCTCGAGGGCCAACAGCAATTCCTGTTATAACAAATGTAATAATGGATATTTCAAATAAATTTTAAAACCTCAATTTTTGTTATCATTAGGCTGTGGTAATGAATGTGCATGCAAGCTGACCCGATGACTTTCAGTTGGATAAGAAATGCCAACACGATTGAACCAATTGCTTTTGTTTGCTGTTAGGCCATGCCTGGTGACTCTTGTTCATTTGTAATCATGGTGTAGGTACCAAACCATGCATCTTGTGGGGTCTGAACATAAAAATAGTACTATTTGTTTATTCCACTTTTTCTTTGGTATTTTTCTCTAGTACCATGAATTCTGAGTACGGCAAACTAGTCCTGCATAGATAAAGGTGATGAAATGAAATCTAACAGATGCCCTCCTGATATTATCAGTTAAAAAGAGAGAGAAGAGCAAGGGCCTTTCTACACTCAATGATTCTATATTAGCATGCAGCCATGTGCCTCGGAGTACACAAGTCTCTCTTGTTAGAATCGTGGAGGATAATATTCATGTCATTATAATAGATGCAACGGTGTTGTAATTGAGCCACATTGCAGAGTAAAGACCCAACACCAGGTACTTATTTCTCAGCTCATACAGGCATCATCATTACGAATCGGGCTTGGGCTTGGATTTGGCAGCTGACATTTAGCAGCACTTCATCTCGAGTTCGATTCCTACTATTGAACTACTCAAAAAATAAAATATAAAAAAGTACAGGCATCATTGAGGATGAAGAGCAATGTGTTACTCAGAGTGTAGCAAACGAACAGGATGAGACGCATCCAGTGAAAACTCAGTCCACAGGCTACAGTAAAAACTCATTCCATATGGTCATATAGCCCCATTGATTACATTGAGCATACAGTAAAAACGCAGTTATATAGGTAGCACATAAATAACTCAGCATACTTCAACATGGTATCAAAATAAAAGGAGTTGAAGACAGAAAATGACAAGAAAATAGGGAACAGATGCCCTTTGCAGTAGCACAGGCTGAATACGGAGCAAAGAAAGCCCAAAATGCCCCAGCAAGTCATAATCTAAATGACATTTGAATCAGTAACGGATCTTGTACCTCTTATGTTAGCTTATAGAGTTGGGCATCATGATATAATCTCTTATAGTCATCCACATATTTGGACTATAAACCGTTGATTTTATAGTGTCAGGCCTATCATACGTATCATTTGAGAGCAATGTAACAGGTGGGGTTCGTGTACAAATCCCCACTAGCTTAATGGATGGAAAGAGGATTACAACTCTCTCATATGTGCCTGCATTATAATTTGTGCTTTATTGGCACTAGGAGCTTGTCTTCTCTGTAGTTTTTCTTTGACATAAATTCAGAATCACAAGGTGAACTGGTGAAAGGTCAAATGCAATAACCAGTCCAGAGTGAGTGGCATGGTTCTGTTGAAAGTTACTGATTTACTACCAACATGAGAGCACCTTCCCCAGATGCCCGAAAGAAGTGAAACTGATGCACACCACTGAAATTTGGAGAGATGGTGATCTTTCATGCTTCAATGCAAGGGACGTGAGGAATACCATCTTGTATTGCAATAGATGCTCCATTTGTATGTGCTTTTGTGAAGGCCCAAATTATTATTGATAATGTGGTCATCGTTTTTTTATTTTTTGTTTTTTTATTTGTTGTCCAAGATTTCCCAGTTATATGTGTTACAAGTCACAATCTGTCAAATACAGCAGCTGTGCTCAAAATTTGCGAAAGAAATATTCAGAAATGCTATTAGCCCAGAGTAAGAGTGGATCTCATAAATTGTCTCTCAATGCAGGTCCGGTCCCCATCAGGACTCCTTTTTTTCTTAAATTTTATCAGGACTTTTGAATATAGTTCTTTACTGGTTTGTCACTGCAGTACTGCACTGCCCCTTTACTGTTTAAATTTCTAGTATGTTACTTTTTCTCTTGGCCATATGAACTTAATGAGAGGGCCGTACCTTGTACTGCTAAGATTCTTGAGAGGTCTCAATAATGTAAAGAGAGGGTGAAAGAAGAGAGGTTTATCAGAAGATTAACTAGTGGGCCTGAATCTGAAGGGAACCCCATACCCAAAGGGTGCTTGCTTTTCCCAGCTAGCAATGGGTCTTGTATATGTTTCATGATTGTTTTATACAACTAAGCAAAACTAGGTGACATGGTGATGATAGTGGTAGAAGATATCATCTCTTCAATCAATGGCAGCACGCATCAGATCCTGTACAGTATATTTCCATGAAAAAGTTTTGTTGATACCCACGTATGTGATATGAGATCCACAACCATCCGACCGTGACTTTAGGTACTGCTTAATGCTTGCCATTTGTCATCAATGGAACTATGGCTGTATTCACCATCATCCATTGTCTAGGACACAGATAATGTCTGCTTAAAAAAAAGCATAGTATGCTTATGGCTGTAACAATTTTTGAGTAACGTGATATGCTTAACAAAAAGTTCAAGGAATGCACATAGATGATCTAAGATTGAGCCTTGGTCTGGCAACAGGGCGAGTCTATAATTTTATTGTGACAAGTACAGTAAGTCTGTAAGCTCTAAGTTTTTCATTTCTGTTGTAAAGATTGGTCAGAAGATGCAATTTTTAAAACTCCAAAATGCTACATTCTGGTGAGAAACGAAAATCGAAAATGGCAATATTCGCACGCATTTTATTGGAACATGAGATACATGCTGAGCAAAGCGAACTTCAGCCAAACAGGGGTAAAAGGAACAGGTAGTGAGGGGCCTAGTGTTCTTATAAATATAGAGAAAGCATATAAGAATACCATTAATGTTTGGTCACCATCACCCTTAGCAATTGGATGTGAAATCGTGCTCAGAGTCGAGAAAGTTTCTCTCAAGACACATTCTTAGTTATCCGTTTCTATATACGAGGGTTAGGGATGATTTTGCCTTTCTTGTATCAAGTTAAATGGTTTTATAGTATACAATTCCACAAATATAAGGGTGCGTTTTGTATAGAGCCGAGGCTTTAAACAATCGAAGTAAAGCACATGTTCAAATAGTATCGAGAAATGTGGTTTCAATACTGGAAATTTTTGTGATAATTTTAAAATATGTTTTCATTTCCAATTATAAAATTTAAAGCTTCAAAATTAGTGTAGATCGAGCAGATCTATGAAACCTCAAAAATCTTGAAAATGGACAGTCTAAAAATGCGTGGCAAGCACTATTTTCGAAACTCGAAATCTATTTTTTTTCTCATGTCCATGCATCTTGATGTCGAAATGATTAATTTGCAGATATTTGGCATCGAAACACCTTCTTCTAGTGAAATTTTTGACGTGGGCTCTAATTTGATAGGTTAGAGCTTCGACTCTATAAATTTTTTCCTAAATTATAATGCCTACTCAAATGTAGTATAACTCAATATTAAGTTGATGCCCGAAATGACCACCTATCTACTTGAGAAATTTGTTCAGGGTTTTTTATTGCAAAATTATCCCGAGTCAAAATAAATGTTTACAAGTCAAATTTTTTGTTCATCCAATTATCCTTTTTTTAAAGCCAATTGCAAAAGAAATGACATCTCTCTCCAAATGTGTCTTGCAAAATACAAACCCACCAGTCAGTTCAATCAACTTTTCTAATGGTCGTTGTTTCTTTGGCATGGGTTTGAAAAGTCCTTTTGAGAATGAAAGATGGGCACGCTTTTCTAATGGTCGTTGTTTCTTTGGCATGGGTTTGAAAAGTCCTTTTGAGAATGAAAGATGGGCACGCTTTCCATGCTTCTCCTACAACATAAAATTTATTGATTTCCCCTTATCCAACCGTCCATTTTGAAAAGATTGTCACAATCACAATGTCACGTCTTTATACTATTTTATTTTTAATATTTTTTTTTATAAATTATTTTGACACCAAATTTTGGACGTCCAATCCTCTATTAAACTCGTAGTAGTGAAACAATATTTCTAATAAAATAAAATGACCAAAATACCTTTGAAAGATTCAAGGGGTATTTTAATCATTATATTTTATCAAAAAATTATTTGTAATATTTATTATAGGTGCGTCTTAATGAGAAGATGGCACATACCAAATTTTATATTCATACAATTTGTATAAAAAAACTAAAAATAAAATATTGAAGTCAGATCTAAGATCAAACGGTGAGTGACTATCTTGATCAAAATTGAACTACTGGATGATAGGGAGAAGCATAGATCTTCTAATAGGGGAAGTATAGAAGCCTTTCCAATGAAAGATTGTTGGACACTTTTTTTCTTGCATTTTACATCAGGGGAAGATTCTTGCTCCTAACTTTGAAATATTGTTGGACACTTTTTTCTTGCATTTTACATCAGGGGAAGATTCTTGCTCCTAACTTTGAAATATTCTCCTCATTCCAATGCTTGACAGCCGTGGGTTTATTGTAGCCGTTACATTGAGGCACGTGGAAATACATTCATTTCAGTTTTGGACATTTTAGGTATTCCTTGGTGGGACAAATTTGGTTATAGGGCTATTTTTCTCCTCCCCCCATATGGTAGTGAAAAATGGCTCATCTTGGTCAACTCCTAATATTTAGTGGTGAGGAAATTTTTGAATGCACTTATCATAGAAACACTGCCAAAACACAGTGTCTGAACTCTTCAGAAAAAAAAAAAAAGGAAGAGAGAGAGAGAGAAAAAAAAAGGGAACTGATTTTTAATTCATTAGGGCTTATTTGGATAAAGAGAAATGATTTTTAATTCATTGGGGCTTATTTCGATGTACTCATTACCACTGTTTCAATAAAATTAATTTTGATGATGGATTATTTGCTGTTGGGTACTTTCCCTTATAAAATTATCTTGTTTTTGCTTTATTCAAAATAATATGCTGAAAATCACATATCTAAAAATAGCTAAAAAATAGTTGAAAATTGCTGAAAAAGTTGACTGGCTCAATAAAATATAAAGCATATACTAAACAATTAACAAAATAATGTTATGCAGAGTATATTAAATTTGAGTAAAATAATCCACCCCCAATTAGATCTGCTGTCATCCACACAAAAGAGCCCCTTCTTGACTAGCTCCATGTTGACATTGGAATTTTCAACACAGCTCAAACAATCCCAAGCCATGGGCTATGCAATGCACAGGCATAATTAATCAAATTTGTATGCTACTTCTTAAGTACAGTACAAATAATAGAAATAATAATTAGAAATGAAAAGCGCTACTAATTCTTGTTGAAAAATATAAAAGAGAGAAATCCAAATAGTTCGGGAATTTAACTCATCTTATGTGAAAAAAGCCTACTAATTAGGTTCTATTATGTAAGCGTACAATTTTTTCTGACATAATTGTGAATTACTTTTAAGCAAGGTTTAAAAAAATGCCGATTTGAATCGGAATTCGAATTGCCTAATCTAGATCAGGATCATCGGGGGTGAACCGGTTCCCGTTAAATATCGGGAACCAGGCCGGTTCACAAGTTTTGGCTGGTTCTCTAACATACCAGCCAGTTAGAACCTACTCCACCTTTTTTTCTTTTTTTCTTAATGATTGGTTCTACAATTCAGATAGTCAGTCTACCGAACTAGATCGTAAATCTGGATGGGCGATTCAGATGAGCGGTTTTTAAAATCTTGCTATTAAGATTTCGTATTTTAAATTGGCACACACTATTTCAACACAAATCAGAAACCAAGTGCATGAATAACACCAAAATATGGTTGATTTGTGCAATTGAGGCCTAGTCCCTATCATGTTTACTCTGAGGAAGTTCTTTCCCTTGGGTTGGGCTACTGCTTTCCCATGTTTGTTTCATAGGAAACCAGTAGACTCTCCAGTAGCTGGGAAAACACATTCCATTCTTTCTTAGCAAGCAATGGAAACGTGTGAGAAAGTGCTCTCGACTCTGTATGTAGTGGCTGGGAAAACACGTTCCATTCTTTCATAGCGTGCAATGGAAACGTGTGAGAAAGATCTTTCTCAGGTAACAGAAAGTGAACTCTCCAAGACCCCAAAAAAACAAGCTTTCCAATGAAAACAGCATGCCCTAAAAGTCATAGTACCGTTTTCAAATTTAGAACCCAAATCATGCATTATTCCCGAGATTATAATTGCATATTCGAAACTGTGTCAAGCTGTACAAAATCCCATGGCATTTGAAAGTGGAATTTTACAAGTCCGGGACCAATGAATGAATGCTGGAAACTCAAAAGCTTCACTTAAATCTTGCTTTTCAGATTCCCAGAACCACTAGTGGGTAAGGACACCCGCTTATGGCCCTATAAATGACCAGGTGAAAGACCCTTAAAGCTCAACTTCCTGAAACATGTTGAACAGTGGTGATCCAATTCGCCATGGGGAAGTTGTTCGTAGCGAATGGCGAAATACAGTCTGGACGACTGAATGAAGATATCAAAAGGATATCAGTCACATTCATTAATCAATTTACTAATTTGATGGAAAGGCTGCATTAATTCCCCATGAGAGACGAATTCATGCGCGGGATTGCTCAGGGTGAGTTTGATTCAGTATGCTATGTTAAGTCTGAGAGTATGGCCTTAAATAGAATATAATGGCGGACCAGGATTCGTACAGCCGACCCCAATTAATTGAAAAAAAAACCTATGGTGATGATAATGATGATGACATGCTATGTTAATCCAAGATCAAACAAGGTTAAAAAGTTCAAAATCTGAAACCTCCCCTTGCCCCTTAACGTGCATGCTTTTGTTTGGGAGATGGGCTTTAACCGTGAACAAGCCAAGAAGGAGAGGCATGATTTTAAATAATGTGCGCCTATGTGTAAAGAGGAAATTTATCAAAGTATCTATAAGAGATGAACTATTCAATAATTTACCCATTTGCAACAATTCCTACTCAAGACCATAAATTTTGTTATGGGTACTTTAAAATGGAAAAAGTTTATGAAAGGTACCAACCTTATATTGTAGAAGTAAGATGCATATCAAAAATCCACCAGAAAAAGGTGCTACGACATAAAAAAAAACCTACAATTAATCATCTTGATATTGAGATGTATGAATATTAAAAAAAAAAAGAAAAAAAAAATAATTTCGAGTTCTAACCATAGTGCATCCTATTACACATTATATGAGTCATTCATTTTCAAAATGTCTAAGTGTCTATAGAACTGCTCGAACAACAACATTTTGGAGCATCAAATTTTATAATTAGAGGTGAAAAAATATTTGTGGGCATTGTAAGAGTTTACAGCATCGAAACATCTTTTAGCAAGATTTAGAGGTCATATTGATTGTTTAATATTGAACCCATATACAAACGACACCCTGTTGAAATCAAACCAAACGACACTGTTGAAATCAAACCAAAAGACATGGGTTCACCTCTTTTGGTTAATTTTGAAAAAATTCATACACTAGAAAAATGATAATGATCATCTCTTCATACATTACTTGTACAAAATTCATGGTGTTGGGCTCTACAAATGGATATACAATGGGTTTGACCTAGAAATATATGGGCAATTCTTTGAACAATGGTCCGTAACTTTGCATTATTGTCTGAGAAAGGCAGGCATGGTATGGTGGAGATTTTTGGTAGGTTATTTTGACGAAACTTTGAAGAGAACGAAATAAAACAACATTTGAGCGAGTTAGTCAAGGACTCAGAAGTAAAAAATCTTGCCCCAGGGGCACATTGAGCACAACAAATGAATGCAAGATAGAATTAAGAAATGATAACAAACTCATTGAGGTCGGCTACACGAATCTTGTTCATCTATTCTACTCTATTTAAGGTCATACCCTCATTGAAGTCACACGTCCTTTTGGGCTTGCCCCTTGTCTTTTTAAATCCTTCCAATTGAATTAACTCGCACCTCCTAGGTGATGTACTGTGTCGACGCCACATATGGCCAGCTCACCTAATTCTACTCTATCTCATCTTATTACTTGTTGATGCCACACTTAAACTTTCTCGAATAGATCATTTTCGATTCTATCCCTTTTTGTCTTTCCATTCATCCATTTTGTTTTTTGTCCGCCCAACATTCCACCCCATAAAGCAAAGCTGGTCTCACATGTCTTATAGATCTTACCTCTCAACTTCATTGGTATGCGGTGATCACATAAAATTCCAGTTGCACATCTCCACGTCGCTCACACAGCTCTAATTCTGTGTGTGACATCTTCTTCAATCTCTTTATTTCCCTGGATTATCAACTCATGGTATCAAAAGTGTGATCTACTTCATAGTCGTCAATCTTAACTACTTCCTCGTCTTTACTCCTATTATTACTAAACTTGCATTTCATCTACTATGTCTAAGTCCGACTAATTTTAAAACATTTGGATTCTAGAACATCCCTCCAAAGTTCTAACTTTGTGTTGATGTCGTTCCGGGTCTCCTCGATCAAAACTTTCATATGCAAACATGATGCACCAAGGTACATTATCCTACAGGCGCCTAGTTAGGTTGTTCATAACTAAAACAAAGAGGTACGGGCTCAATACGGACCATTGATGTAGACCTATTATGAATGAAAACTCATTCATTTCTCCACTAGTTGTTTGCACACTAGCTAGCGCTCCATTGTACATATCTCTCACCAAGTCGATGTAGTGTCTTGAGACTCTTTTATTTTTTGAAACCCTCCAAATCAAATATCAATATACTCTATCATAAGCTTTCTCTAGGTTAAAATATACCATGTAGATGTCTTTTCCCTTTGCCCTAAACTTCTCAATTAGTTGCCTAAGTAGGAAAATAACTTCGATTGTTGACTTTCCTTACACAAAACCAAATTGATTTTTAGATACACTCGCTAAATGTATTAGTCATTGCTCAATCACTCTCTCCCGGAGCTTCGTAGTATGGCTCATAAACTTGATCCCTCGATAGTAAGCGTAGTTCTATATGTCTCATTTGTTCTTGTAAATAGATATCACAATATTTTTCCTCCATTCACCTGGCATTTTCTTTGTTCTTAGCACCGTGTTGAACATCTTCATCAGCCAATCAATGCCAATCACCCCCATGCACTTCCAAATCTCTACCGATTTGGAAGTGGCTTGTCTAATAACTATAAAAGATGAAACAGCTAGCTTTTGTAAACCTGAGGTTATGTTAAACTTAATTTTGATGGGAATTCCTAGGTACAAGAACCATTTTATTATTACATACTCTAGACGGTGCGGTATAAGCAGGCCAAATGAGGTAGAGGCAAGATCTCTACAGAGAATGAAGTTTATACATAAAATTTTTGCAAGTCAATAATGTTAAAGGGCAATCATTAAATGTAATCAGATAACATGAAACATAGCAAAGCATTGCTCAGTATTTATAAAGGAAATAATCACAAATATACCTTAATTTTCCTCTATTTAGAAGAAGAAAAACTGTTAACTTTTATAAACCTCGCCCACATCATTTTTCTTCAATTTTAGACTTTCTTTTTACCAAAATAACTTTTAGAGTAGTGGTATTACCGTGAAGCATCATTACGGTACTTTAAGTATCGTAAAAATTATACAATATTTTATATATTGTAAGGAGTTGAAGTATTATTACGGCACTCAAAATGCCGTAATGCCATAATAATATCGCACCCTAAAAACCCTACCCGAAACCCCTTTCTCATTTACCGTTCTGTTTGTATGTATCTCTTCTTTTTCTCTCTAATTCTTTTTATATTTATATCTTCTTTCTCTCTCTAATTCTTTTTAATATTTCTCTTCTTTCTGTCTCTAAATCTTTCTCTGTCCGGCAGTTTAAAGAGAGAAAGAAGAGAGAAATATTAAAAAAAATTAGAGAGAGAAAAAAAAATACCTATAAAAAGATTTTGAGAGAGAAAGAAAAGATAAATACAAACATAACTGTAAATGAGAAAATGATATTTTCTACTTTATGATTATATTTGTATATATTTCTTCTTTCTCTCTCTAATTCTCTTTATATTTATCTCTTCTTTTTCTCTCTAATTCTTTCTAATATTTACCTCTTCTTTCTCCCTAAATCTTTCTCTCTCTGACCGTTTAGAGAGAGAAAGAAGAGATAAGTATTAAAAAGAATTTGAGTGAGAAAGAAGAGATAAGTATTAAAAAGAATTTGAGTGAGAAAGAAGAGATAAATATAAAAAAAATTAAAGAGATAAAGAATAGATAAATACAAGTAAAGGAAAAAAAAGTTTCAAGTAGGGTTTATAAGGTACGATACTATTACGGCACTCGAAGAAAAAGATTTCGGGTAAGGTTTTGAATGCTGTAATAACACTTCAACTGCTTACCGTATATAAAATGTCGTATAACATGGATTAAGTTTTACGATACTGAAAATACTATAATGATGCTTTACGATAATACGACTACCGTGAAGGTTATTTTAGTAAAACAAAAAGCTCAAAATTGAAGAAAAAGAACGTAAGCAAGGTTTATAAAAGTTATGACAAAAATTAAAATATATTTATAATAATTTCCCTATTTATAATAGAAATTTTTTATATTTTTCATCCCGCAACTATAAGGGAGCTCCAATTTACATAGACTGATGTGAAGTGGGCGCATTATTTAAAGATAGAGAGCTGAATTTTGATGGTCAAGAGTTCCTTTGGTTAATTTTGATGTAAAGGATAATCTAAAGTCAGCCCGCTAGCTAAAACAGCAATAGGCCCATCACAATTGAATTTTGTATTTGAATTTTAGATTATTTTTTTTTTTACAAAATCAAATCATTTGAAATCTAGAGTATCTAATTTTAAAAATAAGCAAATCTAATCAAAATATCAAAACAATAATTCACCAAAAGAATATTTTTAAAAGTATTTTGATCCATTTAATTTTTATAAATCATTTTTTAAATATTTTTATTAGATGCGCATTGATTAAAAAAGGCGGATAAGTTGGCTAAAGCTGGTGTTGCTGCTGCAACTTTAATTGTTGTATTAACATATCATGTTTGTTTTTCTCGTTAATTTCTTTCGTGCCATTCTTGTGGTAAGGGTCCTTTTGACTCTTAGATGATGTATTTGGCATTGATGGTGCAATAATATTGTCAATGTTTTTCCAAAACATAAAAAAAAATAAAAAAATGAACATCCCAAATTTTACGTGATTTAGATTTGTAAAAAAATATTAAAATTAAAATTCCAAATATAGTCGTGACTGTCAGATTAATCCAGACTCAATCTAAACCATTGGGCTTATACTATTCAAGCCCGTGGGCTGACAGGATCTTTGACCATTAACTAGTGTATAAGCATATGGTTAGCTAAACGTCGAGACACGGCAATTTTTATTTTAAACAATCTCTTATGTTAATTTTCATGCATACTAGAAAGCACAATTTTTTGGTGCGAGTGAAGATGACACTAGGAAAACAACATGAAAAGAAATGCCACAGCCCTATGCACTGCAAAATAGTAAAATACATTATATTGTGGCATCAGCCTTATTTCTCTAAAAGGGTCCCATCCATTACAAGCATGAACCATGAAGCATTGTCCAAGAATGATCACATAAAAAGGATTCAAATGAAAAAAAAAAAAAAAACAGCGTATTAAACAAACATCTAAACTTACAAGGATTCAGCCTTGGGCCCGATTGGTTAAGGACTTGCAAAATTACATCCACAGTTTGAATCCTACAGCTGAACTACCAAAAAATAATGATAATAATATTTATTATCAAGCCTTTGCAAAACGCAATGTTCAGGTCCCGGAAATTAACCATTAATATAATCCAAAGAATTAAGAAAATCCCAATAATATTGCCAATGCACATACAGCTGACTGTGTTGAAGATGAGAAAAGCATTAAAAGTAATCTACGGTTACAGGAAGAATCGGAAGGCAAGAGAAAGGCTATCACTTAAATAAACACTCGAATTAGCCTGTTAATAGAAACAAGAGAAAGAAGACAGAAATTTAACAAAAAAATATAATTCCTCCCTCTACAAACACAAAAGAAGTAAGTTTCATAGAAATGATACATGCTGATGCACCCCTTACTCTCAGCAGCTCCCCACCCAGAGGACTAAAGTTTTGACTGCAAATAAATGGAGGAGCCTCCCTAAAAATCTGCCCATGTTACATGCTTTCTCCCGCCCCACCCAAAAAGCCCAACAAATGGCTCGAGAATTCATAAATGTAAATCCAATACTTAGATGACCTATCTCAAATATTACCTGAATTCCCCAGCATCGAACAACACTTGCTATGAGAAAATCAGCAAGACCAACATCCCTTAACCTGGCTTCTTCATAAGAAGTAATCCGGCGTTCTCCGGGTCACATCTGGCTCTCCACGCCTTGGAGCTGGTTCAAACTGTGGAGCCAACAGAAAATCACATAAGTTTAGGGTCCTAATTGTTCGATCCAATATACAGAGAGAGACCAAGATGATAAGTGTATTGAAAGAAAGTATTCAACTCTCTGAAGAACCAGGGGAATGGGATCTCAGCTGACCTGAATGAATGTATGCCCCTTGCAGTCGTCAACTTCCAAGATGGATGCCATGTTCCCACAACGGTAGCAATAATTTGGTGCACTAAATATGGTTACAACCTTTTGTTCCTGCAAGAAAGAAATAAAACTCTGATAATCCCTCCTAGTTCACTTTGTTCCTATGATCTAGCCTGAGAAGATAGAAAGCTTACATGGCCCCAATTGAACCCTTCCATAACAAGCTGATGAGCTCTGGCGATCAGCTTCAGGTTGTTGGTATGATTGAATTGCTCAGAGATATCCTTTATTAATTAGTACTAGCATGTTAGATGTTACAACAATACAATAGGTGAACCAGAGAACCACACCTTGAGCATGCAAAACAGAATTGCATACCTGGCCAAAGGTATAGCCAGCTCCACGAGGAGAGATGCCCCACCCACAGCGATCATCGGGATCAGACCATAAGAGATCACACATGGGGCCTTCATGGGGCACTTCTTGAACACGATCAAAGTTCCTTATGTTATCAAGGGTCTCAATGGACGGCGATAAACCACCGTGCAAGCAAAATATCTCAGATTCAACCTGTTCAGAAATTCAACAGAAGAGCAAAAATTCAGAAGTCACCCGATTTATATTCAAATTTTCCTAGCAGAAAACCTCTGTTAACTAGAACCATGAGCAGAAGAAGACAGGGAACTCTAAAAGAGAGCATTCCTTTAGAATTCATATGAATCAATATAAAAGCAAGTGAACTTTATGTCTTGAATGTTGAACCAAAATATAGTTCTTTTGAAAAAAGAAAACAATGAGAGCTGAGTTCTAGTTTATTACTTTGTCCACTAAGAAACTAAAGCAAGATAGAAACAGGGGCAAAACAGGGCAATCTGTGAAATTATTAAAGATGGGTCATGTACAATTTTGCATGAGATGAGATACACAAATAGAGGCCACCATCACAATTTTCAAGCGGATCCATGATCGCCATTTTTGGGTGAGTTCCATACCACCATGTTACAACATCACAAATACACCGTATTACAAGAGATATAATGAATATCTTGTGGAGGATCCAACATCACCATTTTATAGGTGGGGATAACATGACAAATATATACCACTATGAGAGTTATAATGAACATTTTGACAGCATAAAACCTATGAGACCCTAAACATATTTACAGCAGGAGACCTACCAGTTCTAAACTATTAGTCCCTAAGCATCATTATCCTTCAAGAACATTCCATATCCCCAGAATTTGTAACAAAAACCTGAAGCTACTTCAACTATTATAGAAAGGAGAAAAATATTACTATGAACAGATTTCTCATGACACTAGAAACTGCTTATGATATTTTACAGTACAATAATACTATTGAGCACCATAAGATGGAAGAGTTGTTTCAAGATTTCCCGATAGTTTTTTTGTTCCCAGCACTAAACATGCATTGTACATGTGAATTCCTCATAACAGACAAAGCAGATTGCACCATCAAGGACAAATTTTTAATAACTCCATGAGTATCCAAATCACTTCAAATAAAACGCCAGAACAAGCAACAAAAGGTTGTGCCTACGCCAATACCAAAAACGAATACACACAAGAATAGGTGAAATGAGGAAGAGCATATGGCAAACAATATTTAAAACAGTAGCCAAAACAATTCGCATCATCAACAAACAAGAAACACCGACAAAAATGATACAAGTGATAGGAAAATAATTGCATGAAACTTTCACCAAAATCAACATATAAAAACAACACCCTGTACAAATTAACAGATTTTGCATTCTCACCAGGGCTGTTAAAGGGAAGTAGTCAAAAAGGTCAGTGAAAATCTTCCAGACATTTGCATTCCCATACCTGGAAAGTGTATAAAGATTAACAAAGATCCACCAAAACCACAAAGAAAAAGGAAAGTAACCGTGAAAGAAAGATTTACATAAGCAAACATGACTATCCAGATTAAAATAAGCCGTTCAATGTTCTCATAGTTCAGAGGCTGATCTATAAGGGACAGAAATAGAGAGCATAATAAGATTAAAGTCAGAATAATTTAATGTCAGTGCTCTCTGATACCATGATATCGGATCCATCACAAAAGATGGGAAGAGATCAATTTCAGACAAGTATCAAATGCTGCATGGGACCAAAACTTAAAGGACAAGGATATATTTTATCATTAAATAACAAGATCTATTGCTACAAATAATCAGCATGTAGCAAATTACTAGGATATCCTTAAATGGAGCAAATCCAAGTTGATGTCACACTAGAAACAAGCAATCAGACTATATTTTCTTTCTTTATTTGTTATTCTGACAGGAGAAACTAAAACTTAGAGAAGAGAGCAGAGACTAAAACTTCAAAGTGGGAGAGCACCCAATATGGCAACAATAGAATAAATGTCAAGCAGAAGTATTACAGCATCATTGCTATTATTGTCATTATAGAAAAATATAATCTTCACTATCCTATTTGTTATATTTCTTTAGTTATCCTAAAACATTGAGGGAATAAGCATCAAACATTGAATCGAATGTGTAAGGAAATTTTCGTCATTTCCTCAGATTTCTTCATTTATTTATACCATACCTGTCAGGGAAATGGCGAATTGGCGACCTGTCAAATCCGGTCTGGGCCCCTAGACTGACTAGCCCATCGAACACAGTGGACTGAAGGAGGAGCTGGTCCAATGTCTTTGACCGGACAGTCCACCGGTCAAGGGCCAAAATTGGCCAGGCCTGGTGGGGGAGAAAAAAGGTCATTTTTACCTTTGTTTTCCATTTTTTAATTAAAAAAGTATGTAAGGGTATCCTTGGCACTTTGGGTTTGTATTGGGGCATTTTGCTAAACGAAAGGTTAGTGTTTTTGGGGAGGGGATAAAAAAACACTTTTAAGAGAGAAAGATATGGCAATTTTCTCTTTCCCTTTAACTTAAAAAAAGGAGGCATCGAGTGGAAACCAGGGCACTTTTATATCAAAATCAGGCCAAAATGACAAACTATTCAACCCCCTAGTGCTTGCCATTTATTTAAGTAACCTTTTTTTTTTAGTTTGAAAAAGCAAAAAACAAAAAATGAATTTTTTTCAGTTCTTTGGTTTCAGGCTTCTACAGAAAATTTGATGTGCATTTCTTTATATTTTTGGTTTGATTTTAGACAGGTTTTTTTCATTTGCCCTTAAAAAATTAGAAGCGAAAAATGCAAAAAAAGAGAAGGGGGGGCATTTTTTTTCCTGTATTTTCAGTTTCGATTTTTGAAGGACTTTAAAATTAGTATGAGCTCGTAAAAAGCAACTGAAAATGAAAAAAAACAGAATAAAAAGAAATTTATTTCCTACAATTTCTTCTTCACCTTTTTGGTTTTAAATTTTAAGGCGACTTTAAAATTAGTAAGAACTGATAAAAAGCAACTCAAAAAGCAAAAAAAAAAAAAAGAGGTCATTTCATAGTATTTTTTTTTTGGCCTTTTCAGTTTTAAATTTTATGAGCATTAATACAATTGTGCCAATGTTGATTGCGGACTTTTGACTTACGCCTTCAATACTTAGTCGATGTATTTGTTACGTATTTGATGTTTCTCAATGTTAATCAATAGAGTCAATATATTTGTTACGTATTTGATGTTTCTCAATGTTAATCAATAGAGTATGGAATCTACTGACTTATGGCTGATGTTGATGGTTATTTTTCATTCTAATGCATCTTTCATGTTTTTCCAGATTTTTTCCATTTTTTAGTTTTTTTTCCTTAAGTTCCCGCTTTTTTCCTTTTTTTCCTCTTCTTTTTTTAAAAAAAAAATTAAATTGACCAACCTGTCAGACCAGTTCCCTCACCAGTTCAGTCGAAATAAAACTGCTGAAAACTATACCCGATAGAGATTTCCTACTCCCGTAGAGTATACAATTCATTTACTTCCTCGAGCAAAACACACACTAGAGATACTTCTTGGATCTCAAATTTTGGGGATATAATCTTGACAACCCATAGAATAATTTCAGCAAAACAATTCCCAAATAAGCTCTCTATGTACTAGAAAAAACCTTATGCCTCAAGATTGAATAAAGACGGTCCAACTTTTTATCAAAACATATTCCAACACCACCCAACCCAATGGTACTCAGATGACCAGCATCTAAAAAAAAATGTTCCAATTCTAACAAAGATGCAGTGAGCATATCAGTTCTAATTTCTCATGGAAGTACAGAAAGTACATTTATTGAAGAATCAGAAAGAATAGCTAGAATAGTGTGATATAGTCATTCAGGTTCAAGAATCAAGAAAGCATGAATTAAGGTACCATGAAGAGAAACCAAATTGTCAAAGATATCTTCAAGTTTATCCGGCAATACGCCCATCATTTTTATATAGGTTCTGATATGAAGCTTCAATGACATACAGTAAGACGAGAGCTGAAATTGCAAAAGAACAAGATAAGACTGTAAGAAACTCACTTCCTTAGGCATTCATCATAAAATCCATAAACTTGAGTAATCTGCAAAAGAATAAAGTCCCATTCTGTCAAGTATTCCAGAGGCATAGCAATCTGGAAGCTACTCCAGAAACCAGAATTTTCGGCACTTGGAAATGTAAACAATCCACCTGGCAAAAATAATGAATACTCCCAAAACCAATTTGGTGAAAAGAAGACAATAAATAGAGGGTTTTTTATCAACATAAACGAACATATAAAGTGAAATATAACAAAATGCATCCTACATGTTTCACTTGAAAATTACAGGAATCAGACCCTAAAATATAAGTAGAATGGCCCTTGCGGTATTAGGAAACATCCATCCAATAACGAAGGAAAAAGAAAAACAGGAACCAAAATAATAAAGTGCTACTTGAAGTAGAGAAGTGCACCTGGCGACTCTCATGATTCCCTCTAAGTATAGTGATCCGATGAGAATAACGCACCTTAAGGGCCACTAATAACTGCACATGAAGATTCAAGTCAAATGCAACACAAGAAGTTCAACTGACAGTCAATAAAAGCAAACCTAGTGTAATACATTCTTTCCCAAACAGTAAATGCCATTTTCTTCAAGATAAATCATTGGAAGGGACATGTCTAAAGCCCAAAAAGTATCAAACGCTTGAATCACCAAATGAATACTCATATATACATACATACATAACACCTAGATCAGAACGTCCAAAAATGGAAGGTCCATCTCACACAAAACTTCCGCGCCCCCCCCCCCCACACACACACACACACACACACACACACACACATATATATATCAGAACGTCACTCTTGGGCAGGATCCTTTTCAGGTAGTTTGAGGTTGTAAATTCAACTTTTATTTTTTAGATCTGATGAGTAGAGAACATCCCCAATGTTTGGGATCCAAATAATCCCCCCAAAGTAGGGTTTTTGCCTGAGGCGGCATGTAATCTCTTATGCATACAACGAACTCAAAGAAAAGATCAATGGGACAAATGTCAACATTGACAAAAAACAAATGAGAAAAAATGAAATAAAACATGCAGAAACAAAGGAGACAAGGGGACGAACGAAAGAAAGATTTCGCTAAGCATTCTGAATTTCTAAGGTAAATTTGTCACAAGAAGACAGCTGAAAACACCACATGAAGTGCTGACAATAATTTAGAATTAATCGTAACTTAATTTAAATTTCTCCAACTTTAATTGACAATAACCTGGTACTAAGGCAACAACCTGCTCTTCAGAGTACGTGCTCCCACTCCCATCAACATTTACAACAAAAGCTCCTAGTTGTTTCTCAAAACTGACATGGTTACAAGTTACAAATTTCAACCATCATCCATAAAAAGTAATTATTTGGGAAGTTGCAGAACCTATTATATTTTAAGATGAGATTAAGACCAAAAGTAGTATCATAGCAGAACCACATCCTTAATACACATGCACAGCCCATTATAAGATGCACAATCTATTTGTACTGCACTGTCCTTTATCAATTATTCACACATAACAGGTCAGGGCAGTACAGTTCATACTCACCGTTACAGTCTCCACTGAATAATACCCACGATCCACATAATCGCCCATAAAAAGGTAATTTGTATCTGGACACTACAAACAGATATAGAAAGATTAGATATCACAAAGAACTTCCAGGATAAGCCAATATCAAATTGTAGTAGAAGTTGCAGCACACAACAAAGAATAGTATAAAGTCATTAAAGCAATGGACCTCAACGAGAGCGACAAAATCCGTCAATCAATATCTTGTAAATAGCAATAAATTTAAAATAAAATATTAGATTTTCGAGGTATTCCAAAATTTCCTACATCTTACTGCACATGCTCTACATTAAATGGACAAAGTGGGATTGTAAGCCAAGTATATCAGTATTGTGATGATTGAGAAAAAAAGGCATACCGAAATCATAGATGAAGAGTAACATAGAAGAAGGTTGAAAATATAAAAGCCTAATTAAACTCAAGAATGAATTGATATAACAAAACAAATAGTAACAGAAAAAAAAAATGAGAACTAAATAATTTTAGATTTCTTCTTCCAACTTATGCAAATTGGTTCAGCTACACAACCATATCAAATTAATTCAAATAGCAAAATGTACTGCCATACAGATAAAAAAATCCCAAATGGCCCCATAATTTTATCTGAAACAGAATCTTCAGAAGATATAACAATTTATCTGTAAGCTACTAGTATCCGAAACCCTCCAGCTGGCTCAAGACATTTTTATTTTTGTTATGCTATGACAGAACAGACTGAGAACCTGATACTTCTGTAAGGAAAAAAAGACTCACATGCATACACAATGTAAATATGAATATGCAGGTATTAGCAGTAAACTCTGACTTGGTACATATGAATATCCAGGCCACACCCACCAGAGTTTATAATGTACTTCGAGTTTTGTTGCCATTTGCCAAATGCCAATTTGAATTTATTTTTATGTTTTTTATGTGAATGTAATGAAAGACAATGTCTGTGATTATTTATTTTTTAAGTTTCAGTGGTTTTGGAGCGATAGGACTGCCCTAAGGACTCCCTAAACCCTGCCCTAAGAACTCCCTGGGACCTAAACTCATTTGCAGTTGGCAGGCCGGCCCTTGTTCCTATGCAGGGGGGGCACTGCCCAGGCAGCCAGGCCCCCAAAATGCCTGGGCACCTCCAAGTTTTTCAACATTGGTCAGAGTGTGTGAAACGATGTATATTAGGACTACACAAGGAAAACCCACTACTTTACTTAAGGTAGGTTTTAGATCTCCAAAAACTCAGTCCATATCCTCAATGACAATTCGCAAGCCATATATTTGAGTGGGCAGCTTGTTCATTATTATTAAAATATGTACTAAAAGAGTCAGAACAAAATAAACAGAAATGTCACTGCAGTGGGAACAGATACCTTCCCTCCAATACGAAAAAGTTCTGCAAGATCATGAAACTGGCCATGAATGTCACCGCATATAGTTACCGGGCTTTTCACTGGCTGTAAAACAGGGAAACAACAAAATTCACATAGAACTCATACCGTCTGATGCATAGCCAGATCTATGGTTATAACAAAATGCAAAGTTGTTATCATAATTGTACAATCAACAGAAAAATAAACAAATCGGAGGCACAACACAGGTAACCACATTACGTATGAAACTGGCAGGTTATACATGCTCAAAACTAAAAAGACAAACAAACAAGCAACTGTGCAAGTACGGTGGTGCCTCAGAGGGCCATAAGTCACTCCCCCCATCCCCTCCTTTGGAAGCATATTATCCAAGCCAAATATGGTCTCGAATATAATGGGTGGTTGCCTCGCTCCCCTATTCTTGAGCCTCCAGGGCTTGGAAGTCCATTGCTTCGACTAAATCTGCCTTTAAGGCCTCCACTAGATTCAAGATAGAAAATGGACTTAGAATCAGATTCTGGAAAGATCTTTGGATTGGGGACCTTGGACCTTATTTGCCTTCCCTCTTTCTCTTAGCTGCCAATCAAGAACCCTCATAGCTCATTACGTAGAACACAGGGGCTCTTCTCTGTCTGGGAACCGACTTCAGAAGGAACCTTCTTGACTCTCAATTGCCTACCTTTAACTCCCTTCTCCAATTGCTGACTGCTATATTCTCTTTACTCTCAAGAGAAGACTCTCTCATTGGGTCCCCCAACCCCTCGGGCATCTTCTTTGTTTCCTCTTTTTACTCTTCCCCTCCCTAATTTGAATCCCTCCCCTCTCCTCAATAAAATTTGGTCCTTTCCCATCCCCTATAAAGTCCAGGCCATCCCCTATAAAGTCCAGGCCTTTCTTTGGATCTCTTGAAGGCAGCACTTCAACTTCGGAAGAACTCCAGAAGAGAGGAATCTACCTTCCTAACCGATGTATTATGTGCCTTCAGGAAGAATAATCAATCCCTCACCTTTTCATTCATTGTCCTTTCTCCTCAGATTCATTCATCTCTCTGATCTCCCTTTGGGCTAGTAGCATTCCCGCATTTTCTCACTTCTCGCTTTCACAACTTAGAGGTAGCTGGCAAAGTTTGCTGGCACTACATTCCCCTTCACCCATTGTCTGAGCCCTATGGCATCGTCCCCCACAGGGGGCCCTCAAACTTAACACAGATGGTGCATCTTTCAGTAACCCCTGGACCTTTAGGGTAAAGGGGTACCTAGCAAACTCCAATGAAATTTTCCTCTTTTTCTCGGGGCCTCTTGGAATTTTAGATTCCACCACTACCGAGGCTCGGGCTCTGTTGGAAGGGCATAAGAAGACTATCCGATTTCGCACACATTTCTCTGGTATTCAAGTGGAGTGTGACTCAAGTAACATCATCAGATGGGCTTCTAACCTCATACGGCCCCCTTGGCAGCTGACTTCCACCTTTGAACTTATTGCTCTTATATGGAGTGACATGCCAACTGTGACCTTCACACACATTTAGGAGGGCCAACTCAGTAGCTGATGCCCTTGCTAAGGAAGGAGCTCGCAACACCTTCCCTACTCTTTTTTTCTCACAATAGGTGCGCTAAAAATCCCTAGCCCCTCTCTTTGCAACCTGCTTCCCTCTTCTCTCCTTTTCTCTATGCTTCCTTTCTCTCTCTTGTCTTTCCCCTGTCTTAGGTAGTCCAAAAAAACAGGATGGGCAAAAGGAAAAAAAGAGAGAAAAAAGAGGAGAAAATTGGAATATGAAGAAAATAGAAAGAACATATGTATATGTATATTATATGCTGGAATAGACACTCTCTCCCTCCCCCTTCTTTTCTATATCCGGTGTTTTGGCTCCATCTCTCCTCTTTTCTTTCTCTCTTTGACTCTCTCTACTCTTAACAAATTCTCCCCCTTTCATCATCTTTTGTCTCTCTGCTCTACCCCATCTCTTCCTCTTCATTCTCTCTGGCCTCTTTATTCTACCCCTTCTCTCCTCCTATACTCTCTCAGCTCTATCCTCACCTGTTGTTTCTCTCTCTCCTAGTTAGAGCCCTTTCCTGTGGCTCGATTTCCCCCCTTTTCTTCTCCTCTTCTACTTTCACGTCGGAGTACCACTCCCTCTTTCCCCTTCTCTATTCTTTTCTTCCTGCAATTTACCTCTAAGGGATGTATTCTTGCACGGGAAGGCCAGAAGAGGTTCTCAGCATCATATTCTCATCCGTTTCGCCCACGGAAGCTAGCTTTCCAACAGATCTCGCAACTGGGCATCTTCGACCTCTCGCAGTTCAGCGATGGAATCTGCTGCCTACTTTTTTCTCTGGGCTCTTTTTCTCTTCTCTGGACTCTCTCCACTTATCGTTCTATAGGCCTTCTAGTATACCATTTCTCTTCTTGATGATCTTCGCTCCTCTTTTTTTGGCACTTTTCTTATCTGTAGCCTTTTTTTACTTTTTGTTATTTTCCTTTTTGAGTTCTTTCTTGTACTTCTTTTCCCCCTCGGTAATCTGAGCACCCGTTTTGTGGGCTGCCGTTTTTACCACACCTTGTCTTTTTGTAGTCTTTCATTTTTATTTAACAAAGTTAACCAGTTTCATAAAAACAAGCAACTGTGCAAGTCAACCTCTGAGTAAAAGTTTCCATTTGATATCAACAAGGAAGGATGTCCCTCGTAGCATCTAAAATAGAATAAATTCTGACTACATTTTCCAGAATCTGAGGCTTAGTACCAAAGAATCCAGAACCACATATGTAATCCCTTGCAATAATGAGATCCCTCTAATCTCAGAAAAATGAAAGAGAAACAGTGTTACTATCCTTCTCTGGCCCAGCAGGAATCACAGGTTCAGTCGAAGCAGGAACAAGCAGGGAGCAGGGATCCCTCATGATTAAAGTGAAGTCAGCAAATATTATCTAATGGGCCAAAGAAGGGGATGCTTACCTTGACGATTTGATAGAATCTTTGTCAGGATTCTAGAGTGAGCCTCAAAAAGTAACAGTTTCTTTCAAACACATACGAAGACAATCAAAAGAATATGCAGATGCATTGGCAAGAGAAAGGATATAGAGAACCACATTGTAAGTAAATCGAGTAAACAACTGACCTAAACTCACTGTCTATACATCAATTCTGTGCAGCTTGGTTCATATTTTGTCCATTATGCTCAGCCCTTTGCAGCCCCCATACTCAATTTTCTAAAATCTTGTACACTAAATTAACCAACACTAACTTACCAAATATTCAACCAATTTACCCTCATTTTGCTTTTATACGCTCCTTTGAAAAACAGCCGCACAATTCAAAGGGTTCGATAATAATTTGGAGGTCCAATTTGTTGAAAAAATGTCAGAGAACAAAATTTTAACGTGCAAAACTTCCGATCAATGTAGTGCATAAAGAAAAGGAAGTATCATTAGTTCCAAATTCCCGCCTATAGGAGAAAATAACTGACATGGAAGAACACGTCTCAGTCACTTCAGAATATGAACTCCACAGGAACAAATCAAGATAGCAACAATGATAAACTAAGAATTTGGCCATAGTTGATTATAGACACTCTTTCCGACTGCGGGCGGTGTACAGAACAGACTAGACCACTCTTTCCTATTGCGAGGGGAGTACAAGAAACAAACCTTGCTCCAGTCCACTCTCATTGAAGATGGGATACGAGCACTACTCTATTGCCTGCTCCGTATACGGATACGGACTATAACACTCAAGCTGGGTACGGAGTACGGGGAGGTATTTGACTGTATACCGAAAAGGAGTAATGAATATTTAAAATAGTTTAAAGACTTTGGGAGTTATATAGTGCAAATAGATTCTATCGTAAACTTCACTAATCTAAATTTCACATACCCATTGATATGAGCACCTTGTATCACCAAAACAGATGAAAGGAAATTAAATATATTTAACAAATAAATTTCTCCAATGTGAGAAAAATAATTGTCCCTCAGCAAATTTATATGACCATAAAACCTGTGACAAGCTAGGCTAAGGTTAATGCAAGCACAATTACGACTTCCAATGCAATAAAAACTAAAACATTTAGGAGCCATAACATTGAGTAGAAATGGCACCCTCAAGAAATTCAAGGCCATGCATAAGATATACGTTTCCACATAATTGATCATGCTAAAACCACCAGGAGAGGTAGATAACTTAAATGACCTTAGCATACACGATATTCACTTGTGAAGCATGCACAGTTCAAAACTTAAAGCGATAGGGTTTGGATCACTACTTGGCAGAGAAGTTACAAATAGTAGTATAATCATACCCCAAAAAGATTGCACTGATTAAAAGTCAATGTGCGAATAAAATTTAAAAATAACGCATAAAATCTAAAACTGCATTGCAATGGAATAAATATTCAAAATACATTAAATTTTTTAGATTCCACCAAAAAGCTGCTGAAAAAATGACCATGAGGCCTAACCACTTTATATGACTCAATCCATACAATATGATTATTCAGAATATAGAAGTCTATATTTTCAATTTTAGTCCATATCAGGTACCGTGCTTCTAATTATACTGGTGATATAAGTGGCACCAAAAACTTTAAGACTTTCTTGGACCATATTGCAGATCCCCAATAAAATCATACAAATCATAAAAGCAAGACCTGAGGAATAAAGATCATATGTAATACAAATTAAATGTACCAATCGATTATATACTTGTATGAAACACCCAAATTCTCAAGCAACTAAACACGCAACTCCAAATACGGACCAATAAAATGACAAATAATAGACAACAGTAAATAACATCACGAGCACTCTTTAAGCCCAAACATGATAAGTGGAATAAAAGGAAAAAGTTATTGTTTCTCATAGAAGAGAATGAAAAATGTTGTACCTGGACATTGCTTTCTTCCATCAATATCTCCTTGGCCTTTTCACATAACACTCTTACCTGCATCAAAACATAACGTTGCACAACCCTTCAATTCGACACCCATGTATATCTTTCACTGGCACAGTTGCATCTGAATTCTGAAATCGCTAAGGTTAAACAAAAAAGAAAATGGAAAAAACTGCATCTTCTACATTCGCACCCTATAAATATTGGTTTTAGGTAACGAGGAACTCATTATCGTTTATATCCATTTCCCTTATTCTTTCATTTCTCTAATAGTCAAGAAGTAATATAAGGGAAGAAATATGCCAAACATTTGAGCACCAGTAACTTAGTCACAGTATGGAAATCAACCATGGACAAAATAGACAAAAAAGCTTTCTTAAAAAAAAAAAAAACAGACAAAAAAGTGACCCCATCACCTTAATCTATAATACCATTTCAGTGAATTGAAAGTGACAATCATCAAACAAAAATTACATAATGCATGAAAATCTCTCCAGCTTGGAATTGTATATATGAAAATCTCTTTCTATGTGATTTGCATCTATCATTTGCTTCCATAATGAACTTCTTTCTGAAATTGCATTAGTAAAAAAATATTCAAAACAAAAGATGACATCTGATTCCTAGTAAATCTCAATTTTGTGACTATAACAAAAGTCCCCCTGCAAAATAGCCACTAATATGTTTTCGACAACTAAAGACTTGTAATAAATTTTACAAATGCCATTTCTTACTACGAATTTCATGTCAGTAATTCTTTGGGCCAAGAAGCTGGGGTTTTGTGGGGTCCCTCCAGCCCCTTACTTTCACTAAGAAAGTGGAGGGGTGCAATGATTTAGGTTTACAATTTTGGAGTACAAGATGTACCTGTTTCACTCAAGACATTACAATACTCAAGTTAAGGGTGTGGGCACATCAGCAATTTGTTTGAATGCTTACTTATTTCTACATACAACAGCTCTTTGCCATTACTTCGAGGAGAAGCGGAGTTGGACTTGATGGTGTGTCTCACTCTCCAAGTACGATTCCCCACCAGACTTTTAATGGTGCACGGCCCATCCTTGAATACACACATTTCCATTCCACTCAAATCACTTGTGTTCCATAGGGCGGCATTCTTCTCAGAACAGTTTCTTCACCCACTATAGGGTTGGCCTCAGGTTAGATATCAAAGGTCAAGCCTCCAAAGGATATATTTTGCTTATTACACTACTTACATGGGTACCTAACAAAAAGATGATCATGGCTCTCCAAGTTTTGCATGCAACAGATGCATAATTGCATGTGGATGCACCGTTTTTTACACCATGCCTATTGTGGGCAATTTGAATTAGTAGGCAACCCATGTAAAAACCATGACACCCTAGAGTGTGTGGAGGCCTTCACAATTTCCCAGAGCCTTTGTCTAGGATGAGGTCCTTCTCGATGTGATAAGCGCACGGTTTCTAATTTCCGTAAGGGTGGCTTCTTCACCCTTAAGCACTTCAGTCTAATTCGGTCACACTTAAGATGAATATATATATAACTTATGCATCAAAAGTATGATGGGCCCCAGGTAATGTCAACAAAATTGATGAGCTTTCCTAAATTCTTTTTTTTTTTTAGAATGAGCTCTCCTAAATTCTTTATTAGAATAATGTCAATAGATTCCCAACAAACGTAACTATTTACTGACGCAAGCCAATAAATTCCTATCATCAAATAGCTCATCTCAATCCATTCATCCGCATTTTAGGAACAAGTTAAAATGACAGCTAACTTGACAAACTAATTGAGTCTCGAGATAGACCACAGCCATGAATGGAAACAAAATTTTCATTTTGCTACATCTTATCATTTTTCTAAGTATTGAAAAAGAACAGAAACATAGGTAGAAACACATTAAACTGAATATGCATGTGGACACCATTCAGATATATCAGGTGTCCTATGCATGAAATTAATTTATAGAGGGTGAAGTCCTCAACTAGAACTTATCACAAAAAATATAAACAATTGTCAGCAGACTCAGCATCAATATACATGCAACATCTATATACATGCAACAATGTTCTCACACCCTTCGCGAAATAATGTGATAAAAGAGAAGACCTTAGGTGTTACTCGAACGCAAGATATCAAATTTAATACCATACAAAGAGTGTCTTCCTACATTAAACCAATTTCCAAGGTGCATACCTGATATATCTATAGTTCAATGACGTCCTTGTTTGTTGTTCAAAATTTCGAAGATAGGTATACACAACCATGCTACTTTTTCTGAACTAACTATGCTTAGAGGGCTGATGAATCCATGCTATCAAATGAACATCCATGAAAGAACATGACCTAAGAAATCTTTTACAACCATTCCACACATACTTCAGCAGAAGCTATGACAAGAAATACCAGCCTCTTGCTTCTGGATGACACAACATGAGTACAATATAACAACCACGAGAGATTCAAAATTAGAAATCTTAAGAATCCCTTGATAAACTACTTGGTACCACCTTAAAATTGCATAAATAAGTGTATGAATAAATTCCCAACTAGCCTCATAACAAGTAGTCATAGAGGACACAAATGAAGTGCCTGGCCAGTGTTAGCACCGGGGGAAAGTGCTCAGTGTCAGGTTTATACATCAGGAAAAAGAGCCTCTATTATAGAAAGGTTGTAGCAAAGTAAAAAAATTGACAACTGCATTAGTATAATCATAATATGTATTCACCAGAAACAAAATGGTAACAGATAGGTAACAAGGTGGGAGACATGCTGACATAAAACCATCTATCATTTATGACTACAGAATCCTTAATAGTTATATCCCAAGGCTCAGGCACCATGTTTGAGAGAGAGCGAGAGAGAAGGGAGGAGGGGGGGCTCGCATCGAACACTCAGAGATTATCTTCTTATACGTAAAGAGAGAGCATATGGTTCTATGTGTGTGTGTGAGAGAGAGTGAGAGGGGGGCCTCACATCGAACACTTGGAGACCATCTTCGTTTTCTTCTTCTTGTAGGTAGACAGAGAGTACATGGAGGTCATCTTCTTCTTATATGAGAGCATATAGGTCTATGTGTGTGTGAGAGAGAGAGGCCTCACATCGAACACTTGGAGGCCATCTTCAATTTCCTCTTCTTCTTGTAGGTAGAGAGCACATGGATCAATGAGCAAGAGAGAGAAGGGCCTTAATCAATTTTATAGGCCTTAACTACTGTTTATTATATTTAAGGGGGCTTTTTTATTTTTTCAAGCAGGTGGCACTATGCGCATAGGGTTTTGGGAGTCTAGAATCCCCCCAAAAAAACCTTTTCCCCCTTTTTTAGGGGGGGAAAAGTATTTTTTTTCCCTTGGCCGAAGGCATGTTTCCACCCTCAGCCAAGTTGCATCGAAGTGCCGCCTAGGTGTTTTTAAAGCCTAGTTGCCTAGCAGTGAGGTGCCGACTTTTTGAAGCTTGCCCCTAACCTACCATGTACTTTCTATATCTACACACCACCTCTATCTCTCTCTAGCCTCCTATATGCCTAGCCTCTCACTCTCTTTTCCCACCCCAATACTTTCTATCCCGAGAGACCTACATTATATATTCTCACTCTAGATACTGCCAATCATTCACTGTATGCATCCGAACTCTCCCCCCCCCCCCCCTTCTGTAGCCATTGCATAGTTCAGCTCCAAATTCCTTTCAGAAAGAGTATGCTTTTGAGATCCCCACTTGATCAAGAAGTTCACGAGCCTCCCTCCAATTGATATTTATAAACTTTATGAACGGATAGATAAAACACAAGACAACATCTGATATCTTATAACAACCTTTGTGCCCAATAACCCTTTTTGACATCGGAGGCAATTGAAAGGGTTCTAAGGCAGATAGCTTGGAAGATAAAAATAGCATCCCCATACCATGTTTGCTCTACCAAATGATGAACACAAAAGAATCAATTATAGCAGCGTTTTAAAAATCGGATCGGTGGAGGGAATCGTCCACCACCGACGTCAATCCGGATTGGTTGGATAGGGGCCAGATTGGGGATTTGGCATTTTTTCTTTCAAAGGACAATTAGCATATATAATCTATATTTCATACTTTTACCATGTTAAACGTGAAACGGCGTACTGGTTGTACCATGGGATAGGTTTTTCAAGATCACAAGATCAAATCTTACCCTATTTTAATGTTTACCTTAAAAAATTATTTTTCGTTTAAAAAATGCTTGTCGTAGGGATCAAACTGTGAACCCCATGAGTGACAT